CCCCCCTCCTCCCAGTCCTTGTGTTCTCCGACTGGTGTGTTCACAGCACATCAGAGTTCTGCTTTTATTTTGGTAGAAATTTTAAAAACACCCCCATTATGGCGAGGGTAAGAGACGTAGACGGCACGGTGTCTGAAAGTCCACTGAGAGCAGCTTTAAGACGAGATGGACTGATGATGATGAATGTGCCAATGGACACATCCTGGATATTTGAGTCTAGTGGACTGACTGTAATGTCGTTTTGAAGAATTCAACCACTACCAGAGACTGTGGTTCAATATTTTCCACCCAAAAAAAAAAAAGAGTTAAGTTGTCATTTGTTGATCCACGAGAGTCGAAGGCCAGGTCAGGAGAAATGTAACGTAAGAATAAAAGGGCAAAATTAATTTATTAATTTTGAATTGTATGTGAACATAACATTGGTGTAATCTGTAGTGATCATTAGGCTAATAAAACCATGAACGAAAACAGCCTGCTTCATCTTCTTTGGCTTTAGTTTCCCTCTTCTGTCCTCTTTCTCTCTTCATCAAGTTTTCATTTTATCATAAGTTTGTGTTAACGCGCTCACCTCAACCAGATGCAAACAGGCGGAGAGAGAGAGGGACCTGGCTCTGGAGGCCAACCGGCTCTTCAAGCAGGAGTTTGGAGACAAGATAGAGAGTCTGCAGGTGGAGGTGGAGCAGCTGAGGAGGCACAGGTGAGCTCCGAGGAAACAGGAGGCCTCAAATCTGTGTTCATGTCTGGTGACGGTCCAGAGTTACATCGAGGTCGTCCTGTCTTCATCCCCGTCCATGTCTTTGTTTGTTCGTCAGCAGGATTACTATCGGTCTGATAATGTGTCTTCTGTGTTTACATAAATCTGTGTCCTCTGCTTTGTCTTTGGTTCATCTTGATGTTTCAGGTCACACCTGGATCATGAGCTGAGAAAAGAGCGAGAGCGGCGCGGCGAGCATCATCTCATCGCCGGTGCCGGACCTGCCAGTCCTCAGAGGCAGCGGACTCTCCCGGAGAACACACCCAAAGTACGTCTCTGCTCATCTTTACCCTCCAGTTGAAAGTTCTTTTACGTTATCTGTGATTTATTTTATTTTTTTCCCGCAGCGGCTCCCAGAATCTCCGTCAGTGAAAAGATACACTGAGCCGTTGCACATTGGACACGAGGACAGATCCAGTCTGAGCTCCAGTTTGTGAGTAGATCAGAGTCAAGAGTCACAACAATCCTTCATGTTCTGGACAAATATTGACTTTTTAAATTGTCTTACTTCTTCTTTAAGGTCGTTGTCACATCACGAGGACGAGCAGGTGAGAAGTTACCTTTTTACAACAGACCTGCAAATGATCTAAATCCTGTAGACAAACTTTTAACATTTCCAATTCTCATACACAAAGATTTCTGGTAACAAAAATAATGGACGACTCAACACAAAAGTAAAATCTGCAGCTGCTTCCACTTCTCTCCATTTGTGTTAAAATACAACTCTTGGATTGATAAACATTAACAAGAACATTTTCGACTCTCGGAACTGAACCTCAGATGCTGCTGCTTGTGTGGCCGTCGTACATCCTGACCAACTCCATATAAATCAAGTTCAGGCCATAAATCATTATTTAACTATTTTACTTATTAAATTTAAAAAAAACATCATTCCCTCTGAACATAATCCAGACCCTGTGGAGGATCCCTGGACCATTGAGTCCAAACTGTCTCCACAGTTTGTCTCTCACACGTGAACAGTGCAGCGAAGGTTCTCTGGTCAAACGCAGAGGCCCGAGGCAGGAAGTAATTCAATCAGGTGCATTGTTCAAAGAGATCCCTGCAGAGGATCTCCAGAGTTTGTCTGGAAGCAGCTTATGTTCGTCTCCTCGGCTTCGTTCAGAAACAGTTGAGTAACATTTATATAAAGAGAAGTTATTTGGGAACGCTTTGTTTTTCCTGTGTCTAGTTAATTAAACGGGTGCAGTTAGTGTCCACACGTCGAATATCCAGTTTGTAATATCGATGTCGTGTTATTGTTAAATGTTGTGCAGGACGAGTCGTTTGTGGACATCAGCGAGCCGTCCGTGTGCACGATGTGTGAACAGGACGACTCCCTCCTGAAGACAAAGGTAAAACTAGAACTCAGCAGAGCTCCGACCTCCGCCAGCTCCAGCACCTCCTTATGAAGCCGCATTTAAATTCACCAGACTCTTTATCTGGATCCATGCAAATAAGAAAACCTTGATATTATCCCTGAGATGTTTCAGAAGATGATGTTAAGGAGATAAAACTTTAAAACGCTTGCTTCTCTACTTCCTCCAGAAACAGTGTAAGAACTGCAGCGGCGTCTTCTGTGAGAGCTGCGTGTGCAACGAGCTGCCGCTCCCTTCCTCCATCCTCCCAGAGACGGTGTGCGCCGCCTGCTACTCTCTGTTACTGCAGCAATACGCCTCCACGCCAACATGAACGCACCTTGGACATGTGGGAAACCAGAGGCATCGACGCGTGACACTGGCACCGCAAACAAATGCACTTTTTCACTCCTGAATTCTGTGGAATTTTTTTTAATCACTTTTAATCCAGCAGTGTCCAGATGTGTAACGGAGAGCTGTGTACGTGCAGGTTTTTATTTAGATCAGATGCTGTTGGAGTTTTAAAACCTCGAGTGTTGAGCTGCTGTGGTGTTTTTTATTTAAATACAAACCTGCACTTACTCAGCGGAAAGTGGTCGGACATTAAAAAAAAAATCATCTCAAGTAAAAACTGACTTTCCACAGCGTCCACTAAGTGGACTCATGAGGTCAACTGACGATATTTTTAACCTCAATTTTAAAAGACAGAAAAAGCGAAAACTGGATTTTCACAACACACGATGAAATGTGACTGTGCAGGTGGAGATAAAACACCTGTGACCAAACACACAGATAGAAAACTGTTTGTAAAAACTCTTTGACACGATAGGAAACTGTAGGAAAATGTTTATTTCACTCAGTCGATTGAGTTTAGAAAATTAAAATCGATGCAAAATTTCAATAAACACTCAGATCATCATCTCGTGTCTCATCCCAGTATTGATGTGTCTGAAGATGCTGGAGATTGAGTCCACGTTTAAATGTGAGGCATCTGTCTGCAGAGGATTAGCCTAGCTTAGCATAAAGACTGGAAACAGGTGAGAACAGCTAGCCTGACTCTGTCACGCTGTCCTGGCTTTGCGTGAAAACCCGAATGTTAAATTGACAGGTTGAGGATTAAAGTTGATTGTGTCGTTTCTCCTCTTTACTCCAGCGCATAGTATTTCAGTTTGAGAGAAGGATTCTGATTTTGAAATGCGTTCACCCAAAACCTTGAAATCAAATAGGCCCTGCTCGTGTTTAGATTTGGTCCGCTTGTCCTCACTGAGCGCTTGCACTCAGATTTCCTTGCACTTCAGCTTCAGCTGCTCCTGTTTGAGTTTGAAACATCAGCTCTCTGATTTTTTTTTTTTTTTCGTGCAAAGTCTGTCAAACTTCAGAGTGAAGTGATGACAAATGAAATCGTCCCTTGTTTGGTTACTTTCCCATAAATGTACAAACACGTTGAGATCGTGGATTTTGCCTCCGTGTTGATCAGCGATCAGACGGCGAGATCACGAGGGCGGGACAATTTAATTCATCGACACTAAACCTGGCATTCTTTTGGCTGTGGTTCTATGTGATGGAACATTTCTGAGGTGGGAGAGAAAAAGACAGTGTTAAACTATGAAACTGTATTTTCGTCTTTTACTTTCAAACAAACACGAGTCGTTTCCCCAGAGATGAGAATTCTGGGTAAAATGTTTCTGCTAAGGTTTTAAATCTGCTGCTTTTAGGTTCTAATGACATTCTGAGATTTTCTTGGCACTTTTAAAAAAAAACGCACCTGCCTGGTTTGAAGTGGACAAATCATCATATCAGCAGTTTTTATGTTTTATTAGTTTATCTGAGGAGGAATCAGAAACTGGTCAAACCTGTAGATTTCTCTCATTGGAGCTAAACGACATGTAAGATTGTGAAAATGCTTCTGAGATCAATAAACTTTTGTTCTATTTTAACAGTGACGACTCCACGTTAATTGAATCTTTAGTTCATTAAACCCTTCATGTTGAAAATGTTGTGATTTCTTCATTTAGAATTTTTCTGTAGAGAAACTATTTAAAATGAACTCTTCGTTATATGTTTCAGTTATTAAATATATCGGTCGTATCCCCACCTACTCACCCACTTGAATATCGACCTCCTTCATCATTTATCAGAAGCACCGCTGACATCTGGCTTTTGTCTTCAGTCCAGGAGTTCAAGTGACGTCCGTGTGAAAAACGCAATCATTTGAGAGCGCGCCTCATTTTCCGGTGGGTTTTTGACGGTCGGGGGAGGGGAAATCTAACGGGACAACTTGTCTTCTGGCATTTGGAAAAGGAGTCTTCAGGAGTTTGATTCTTTGACACCAGGTACGTTTTATTGTTTAGTGCTCAGATCAGGCTGGAAAATTAATAACAACAATCCGGTGTGTCGGCAAATGAAGATGGCGTTAGGGGTCGTTATCGTTCACCTGCGGGAGAAAACATGAAAACATGTTAAATCACACGTGCAGTTAAAATGTAAAACTCCTGTTTTTAAAAAGCAAGATTTTAAAACCAAATCTGGCTGGTGAAGCATCTCTCTGATTGCATTTTCTATTATTATTATTATCAAATCTGTGTTTCTCACCTCTCGTTGGAATCAGATACAGAATTCAGGAACAACTCGACGTATCTTTCTCCTGAGAGGAAGAGAAAGTTCAAAAGTTAAGTTCTGACAACAGCGATCACTTTAGATATAATTCTTATTATAACAGAAAAATATAATGATTCGTTTCTAATATAACACAGACAGAAAAGTTCATTAATAAGTGATAAAGTGAAACCACAACAAAAAGTAATGCTCTGAATACTTTTCTAAATAACCATGAGACGTTTTTAAACGAGACTACATGAGCTGCTCAGTCTCACCTATGTACTGTCTGTCTTTGGACATGGCGGCGGCGGCGTCCTGGTGGCAGGTGAAGTAAACGTCCGCCTCGCCGCTCGTCCTGCCGTCAGCGCCGCATTCGATCAGGATCTTTGAGACGGCGAGAGGAAAAAAGAACTGCAGGAGAAAAACAAACAAACACATTATTTAAAAAAATAAATAAATAAAACTAAAGCTCCAGCTTCAACACCTCGACTGTCTCCATCTTGGTTTTCACCTTCACGATGTCTTCTCCGGACGCCTGGAAAGGAAGACCTCGCATGTGGATGAAGTGAAGCGGCACCGTGGAGCTCAGCTGTGAACCTGACGGAGCAGATACGAGATGTCAGGTTAGATCACAGACTGTAAATAAAGATCATAAACCACGCCTCCTCCATGTTAGCACAGGGGACATGAAATAATAATGAACTCGTCACCTATTCTGTGGTTGGTCTGTGTGGAGCCCATCGTCTTCCTCCTCCTCGAGTTGATCTCCTCACTCGTGCTGGGGAACACCTCGATGTATCTGCACGTTCGACAGGAAGAACAACACGTCAGCTGACCTCAGGCGGAGGAGAAGCAGGAGTTTGAACAGTAACCGTCGGTGCAGGACGGTTGAATCTGCGGAGTCGTACCTGCTCCCTATGAGGTGTCTGTCTCTCTGCAGAGCGCCACTTGCTGCTTCCTGAGAGGTAAACCGCACAAAGGCCTCGCCAGAATTCCTTCCTTTGTGGTCTGGGACGACCATGATCCCGTTCTCCGCAATATCCAAACCTGGAAGGTTGGACGGAGGAAATTTTATATCTGAAGCAGATCTGGATAAAGTAGTGACGAGATAAGATTGAATAAAGAAGCAGTTATCGGTGAGTTAAATCATTTTTCCATCCTGTGGTTCACCTGAGAAGAACTTGACGATGTCGGCCTCGGAGCAGGAGAAGGGGAGGCCCCGGATCCGCACCACCGAGTCTGCAGCTGGAGCCTGGACGGCTTTCCTCAGGATGGTTTCAGCGTCGCTGTTCGTCACTTCGTACACTGCGGACACGTTGGAATGATTTGTCCTCTGTTTGCTGTCACTGATTTGTAAACATGTTCAGGACGTTTGAGCGCGACCGGTTTCTCACGAGGAGACGAACCTTCGATGTATCGCGGGCCGAGGTACTGTCGGTGCTTCTCCAGAGCTTTGTTCACGTCCTCTTCGTGCTCCAGCTCGATGAAGGCTCGACCAGACGACCTCCCCAGTCTGTTCACGGGGAGGTGGATCCCCTTCAGCCCGTCCCGGATCCTGCACTCTGCAGCACATCAAACCAGGAGCGTACTCAAAACATATATATATATATATATACACATGCTGCCAATATTAGAATGGATGAGACTTTTGCTCCTCATCGATCGACTGTCAGTAAAATAAGAATAATAAATAACTAGTGACCAACTGACCGGAGAAGAAGTGCATGAGGTCCTGAGCCGAGCACGACCAGGGGAGCCCCTTCACCTGCACGATGAACACCTCCTTCCTCTCCGGCTGAGAGTCGCTCTGGTAGGCCGGCAGGGGGGGGTACTCGTCCTCATCCGGTGCTCCAGCCTGGAGGCGTGAAATATTACTGTACACATACACATTAAACTGTACTTATATACACAACTACTACAAACTAAACTGTATCAGATTCTAATATTTATATCTGAACTGTAGTCACCCAGGTCTACAGAGGAATAGTATTATATACAAATACTAAAGCCCAGGTACCTCAAAACTGTACTA